TGCAGAATACAATCTAGAAGGATATGTCTGGCTTGCTAGCAGCTCTGTGTGCAGACGTAAACCATTTCCACAACTGAATTGCTAGGCTTCTTTATAAAGCTGCAAATTTAATATGCATTTTAATATGCAGAAGTTAGGGGCAGGATATCTGTCTTGGATTTCAGCCCTCAAGATTCTCAAGGCAGGATTTGCAATGCTTCCTTCAGTTTTGGAACAGAAAAACAAGAAGTGGATATAAGTTCCTGCTGATTATTTGTATGCTTAGGTGTCTGTGATTCTATGTGTGTATATGACTGCTGTGAGTTAGGTGGGAGAAAAAGAGAGCCAGAGACTGGCCTATCTCAGTTTCTCTCCCCCCCCCCGCCCCAGTTGTAATAACAACAGGGGTTGCTCAGTGACTTGGGTATCTGGCAGCAGAGCCAGAGGTTGGGAGTTTGATTCCTCATTATGCCTCCAGGAAGGAGAGCCAGCCTGTGTAGCCGTGGCCAAGCTGCAGAATCTCAGGGCACCCCCAGAAGAAGGGAATGGTAAGCCACTTCTGAACACTGTCTGTCTGGAAAACCCTGAAAAGGGTCGCCATAAGTCAGAATTTACTTGACAGCACATTATTATTCTTCAACCAAAATTTCCCAATACTCTCTTGTGAATTTTGTGAATGGCCTAATCTGCATTTCATGTGATATGCTTGTTAGCTACAAACATAAAACCTTTGCTTGATGAAATCCAACTTTGGAGAAGGCAGTCTGGAAGAAATCTCAGGTAACCTCTCCTAAATACAGTAGCAGTATAACACAGAAAGAGTATTGAAAGGTCCTGATGTCCGTTGGCAATCCACATGCCAGTAATCTCTCCACTAATACCACATAACAACGAATGAGCCCAAATACTGATTTTCTCAGAGCAAGAGTACTTCATACATTCTCAGAAAAACTCAATTCAGTGTCAGTATTTATATATGCAAAAGGTGTTCACTCAGTCCTCATTTCAGAATGTGCCTATGTTCATAACACTTTATCGTAACAATGGAACAGCTTTGGGAAAACTCTTACAGAATTTGATGCTTTGGTCTGCAAACAGCAAATGCTACTTGGATAGTCTTGTGGCTACATGGCAGAAATGTTATTTGTTCAAGTTGTATTTGTAGTTGCAGGGCTAAAGATCAGAATTTTATATGCTTCATGTTCAGACTAGAGAGATCAGTGTGCTGAAGAGTTCATATTTACTGAAGTCAGTGATTCGTTAGTATTCAATTAAAACCAGATTGAAAGGGGGTAATGCTAATGTGTGGTTTTAAAGGGAGAAGGTCTCAGATGGAGACTGAGGTAAGCAGCAGAATCGGTTTTCATTTCAGTGTAATGATGTCAGACCTGGAGAGGTGGAGAGAAGTAGTTACTTTCAAGAGTATGGTATGTCTTGCTGACCATTCTCTCCCTTTATTAATGGACAATGAGAATTTTGGGAGAAGGCAGTCCTATACTGTAGAGAAGTGTTACAGGTGGGAAGTGAGTCCAGCTTTGGGGGACCTGTGACCCTCCTGGTTTTGTGAGACCCCAGGTTTCATCCACCCCAGGTCACCTGGGAAGAAGGAACATTTTCAGCTGAGGAAATGGACATAAGGCTTCAGAATGGTATATGAGAGAGGTAACCTCTTGCAAACTGGGATTACAACATTTATAACAGTCCATTGGCCCCACAGACATTTTGGATTACAACTCCCACCACCCATCACCATTGGTCATAAAAGTTAGAGCTTCAGAGAACTGAAATCCAAAAACTCTGGAGGCAGTCTTGGGAACGGGATGAGATGTGATGCTTAGGAAGCCAGATGGATTCGTGATAGCACATGCTGGCCATATAATGTCCTAACTGCCAGAGAGATAAGCATTAGGATATGCATCAGTGGCCATGGTACATGTTGCCATCAGTGGTGCTGGGAAATACTTTTTGTAAGGCCCTGGAAGCCCAACATAAATTGCAAGACAGTTGTTGAAATCTAGGACTTACCAGGTCACAATGTGATACATCCTTAGAAGTAAAAAGCATAAATGTTTCAGTCTTCAGAACAGGGATAGAAGTACTTGACACCTGAGATTACAAAAAAAATTGCCCGTCCATTGGCAGGGAATAGAGAGACCCACAAATATTGTGTATGGAAAGGACAATTGAAGATCTGTAGGCAATGTCCGTTGGCAGGGAATAGAGAGACCCACAAATTGGAAAGGACAATTGAAGATCTGTAGGCAAACCCCAGAAGCCCCAAAACCAAGATGGAGAAACTGAAATAGTTGTTACTAAAAGAAAACATTGATATAAAAAGCATGTCTGAAACATGGTAGAAATCAGAATAATTAGAGACTTCCATAACTGCACAGTGAACTGTTACTGCCATTTTTAAAATGCCAGTGTCACTGCCTATACACTACCGTGATTTGAATGAGGGAAGAGATCTTGTGGCTGTCAAAGTTAGCTTAATGAAAGCTGCCCTTGTACCGTGGCAGTCGAAAGGGCATGTTCCACATTAAGAAACAGTCTAAATGAAATATTGGCTATAGATCTTATCCCACTATCTCAAAAAAAATATTGCAAGCCTTGAAAAGGAGAGAAATTCCACATATGGATGTCTGATGAATCTGCCTGGCTTTGAATTTGATCAATAAAACTCTTCAGTGATGTAGTGGAGAGCCAGAGTAAGTGTAGTGGTGTAATGTTTAGAATGTTGGATTGCGACTCCAGAAGACCTGGGTCAAATCCTCACTTAGCCATGGGTGACTTTGGGCTAGTCATAGGACAAAATCCTCTTGTGTAGCTATGCAAATAGCATAAATTTTGGAGGCAGATTGTCTTAAATTAAGAAGTACTCTAGACATTATCGTTTGAATGCTGAGTCACACAACTTGGTATGCAGTGAATGATGGTTGTGGTGATTTCTTAACTTGATGCAATTTGCTTCAAAGAATTAAGCCATTTGTGTTTTGCCTGCAAGATGGGACAAGAGGATTTTCAATACAGTCTCTCAGCTTGATCTTCCTCCCAGGGTTGTCATAAATACAAAATGGGGAGAAGAGAGCTATATACCCTGACTTGAGCTTACTGGAAGAAAGGCAGAACATAAATATGATAAACAAACAGACAAATCCCAAATCTGTATCTGTTGCATTTCCATCATCTCACATTCATTAGCATTAGGTGACATCTGCTGTGCCTTTGGACTGTGATCTTCACCTATGAGTCACAAGTGAAGGAGTCATCTCATTTGGTGACTGGAACAAAATTTTCATACCTCTGCTTTTCTTTGGTATCCAGACCAAAAAGCTCCCAGTGCGCAGGTATCTGATCTTGTCTGACTGTTTAGCTCTCATATTTCACAGCACTAGTCTGTCTTACGCCTTTTCCTTCTTTTCTTTAATTATAATGGCAATTTACAATCTTCATCTAGAGCCAGTTACAAGTCTTGATTTATATTTTGTTTTGGGGGTGGGAAAGATGTTCATAACATGGGGGAAATCATAATTTTTGTATCTAACACATATCTGTGGCTAGTTTTCATATTTCACTACTCTGCTGTGATTTGTGAGGCATTTTTTCCTTAAGCAAAATTTTGTGTTCTTTATTTAAAGCTTTTTGTGGCTTCCAGTTGCAATTCTGGATTCAGATCCCCTTTGTTTGTTTGCTTGCTCATTTATTTTCTGTTTTGCTTATAGCATATGGGAAAATCATAATTTTATATCTGAAACATATATGTAGTTTTCATAATGCAGGCATGTGCAATATTTGTTTTTTCTTGTTGTCATTTTTCTAATTTTTTTGCTTCAGTTTTAACAGAAAAGGCACTAAGTGAAATATGCTTAGTGTTGACTTAGTTGACGGTTCTAACCTATAAAACCCTAAATGGCTTGGGTCTGAGCTATCTCAAGGACTGTGCCTTAGTGTCAGGATCACCAGGAGAGGCCTTACTCTTGGTCCCACCACCTTCAAAGGTGCATTTGGTGGGAATACGGGAGAGGGCCTTCTCTGCTGCTGTTCCCAGACATTGGAATTCCCTCCCACAGGAAGCCAGGTAGGCCCCATCTTTGATGGCCTTCTCCACATTCTATTTTATCCTTGCAAGGTGTTCATGAGGCTGAGGGACAGTGCTTCTCCTCCCACCAGAGACTTACAGAGTGAACAATATAAATATGTGTCTGACATATTCAAAACCAGAATACTGTCCACTAAAATTATAATAAGGAGACCTGCAAGTAGAAGAGAGATTTGAGCAGATGGCATGAGTATTTCAAACTGCATTCTGTTCATACGTTTTTCTTTTCTTGCCAATATCGCTGCAAGCAGCTGCCCAACTTTAGTCTGTTAGCTCTTTGTTCTGACAGCAAAATGTTCTCTTAGGTGTACAGTCATTGCTGTATCATTGCCATTTTTCTCATGGTGACAACTAATAAATGGAAACCAAAAAGGTGATAATGCAGGAGTTCCGCTGTCATGCCTCGAGTGCATCATTTTTCAGGATTTCTGGTGGTCCAGTGCTTCCAGTCTTGGAGAAAACATACTATAACTGAACCACTGCAAAAAGAATTTTTGCAAGTTTTCATAAAGGAGCCTTTTTCTTTTCTTTTTTGCAACCAGTATTTATTGCTGCTTCATATTAATTCTGCTCCATCTAGAACTTTTCTTCAGCTCTTTAACTGAAGACTAATTCACACCACCCGTATTTTATGTGTTTGTTAAATGGCAAATTGTCCCCTTTTTTGATGAAGTGCCTGCAGTACTAGTATTATGGGTGCAAGGAAAGTTGAACAAATGCTGTGTGTAAATGCGCTCTAGTGTTTTTTTCTCCCAGCTTCCTTTATCACACCAGTTTGTGAGGACAAATTGGAAAAGCAAATGTTTTTATGTCTGCTATGTCATGTGAAAAAAAAAGTTCCTCAGTGTTTGTTCTTGGTATTAAATGGTACAGTGTTGGGAAAGGTCCAGGCTGTTATTATCACAGTTTGTATGTTTTTCAGGGAGCCTGAAGAGCAGCCAAGATGGGTTTCAGTTTCTTCAAGAAACATGCAAACCCTGAACCCATCATAGCGGTAACTACAGGTTCTCCAGTACCCTCTTCTACAACCATGGCAGCAGCACCACCAGTGTCGGGGGAGAACTCAACTCAGATAGGACCTGTGGAGAGCAAGGAGGATGTCTTTGCTAAGATTAAAGAAAAGTTCATGAATGAAATTAACAAGATTCCTTGTAAGTACCTTGTAAGTCCTGCCTTAGAAACATTTGGAAATGATATGGTCTGCCTGGCTTACGTGACCCATCACTGCAGTTTCTAACCTTGTTCACAGATCTTAGTGGGGTGGTGGCGGCTAGAAATAATTTTTGATGATATGGCCCAGAATTCACCAGACAACGTAGACCATGGCACTTCTTGTTTATATCTGTTGAATGCAAAAGGCTGGGCTGGCTTGGCACCAGATTTGTGTCTGATGCATCGAATTACTTCTTTCCTTGCTGACCATGTTATGAATGACTTGTACGGAGAAAAAGATGTGTGTTAAAAGTTACAGATAAGCCAGAGACTTTGTGACTAAAGCAATAAAAATATACTTTATATTCTAAAATACCACAAGAGAGGGCCAACTGTTTAGACATATTATTCCAGCACATTACTGGACTGACCTAAATATAGTCCTTGGTTTAGTGGTTTTCTTTTTTAAAAGCTGATACATAGAAGGAGAATTGTAATATGCTTAAACCTGTTGGTGATAGGTTTCAATGTGGAGTAATGGAGAGGGAGAAAAGGACAACTTTAGAAATAAGAAATTAACGGAACAAGAAATGAAAGGTGGAAACTTACTCTCCCAAATTTAATGCACTCGTGTCAGTGTCAGGCTTTAAGAAGCAAACTGAAGGAGAAGATTTATTACAAACAATCTAATTGTATAGAACGTTCTCTGTATTGTCATGCTTTGTATAGGACCTTTTATTATATGAGTAGTAGGTGTATTTCAGGGAAGGACCTTCTTCCTATTACTTATTCAAAATATCAGTCTCTACAAACACAAGGCTTTCCTTAGTATGTCATTGTGAGATGGCATTCATGATACAGTTGTAGGGCAATAACAAGGAAAACTTTGGTTACATTGACAGAGTTTTAGCTTATGAAGAAGGAACATTCTTTACACAAATAGGTCATGTACCTACTGTATCAATATATATTTTCCAGATAGCTCCAGACCTTGGTTCCTTCACCACCACCCCACCCCCATGTGTATAACCTGTACTGCTTTTCCCCACTCATTGCTCTGCTGCCTAGAGGACTGACAATGCCAGCATAGAACCGTCCATGTGCTTGGGTCATTGTCTGCAGGCTTGCAGTTAAACACATGATGGAAAAAGAGCTTTTTAGGTTATGGCAGCCAAATTACAGAAAGGTCTTCCATCCCTCTTGCTTCATGCATCTCACAAGGTTTTGCAGATACTGGATCTTGTTTTGAGCTGGATATGTAATGTTTATCCTTGGAGTGTTTCTGCCATTACCCATCCCTCTTGCTACATGCATTTCAGCATATGGTAGAATCTCACAAGGTTTATCAGATATTGGATCTTGTTTTCAGCTGGAAATGTTATGTTTATCCTTGGAGTGTTTCTGCCATTATTTCAAATTGTTACTTTTAGGATTATCTAATTCTTCTGTAAAGTAATCCTTTGGAGTAAAGGGGTGGACTGAGAGGCAGGCTTGAAATAATCTTTAAATGAATCAGTCTTCTGGGATGTTGGTGCTTAGACCTATAGCTACTTTCCATCCCTCACCACCAGCACAGTAAACTCCTTCCTGTGGTGAGATTGTGATGATGATTGTGCCATGGCCATATTTTGTATTATATTTTTTTAACAGTACCACCATGGGCCCTCATTGCCATTGCTGTGGTAGCTGGACTGTTGATCCTCACCTGCTGCTTTTGCATTTGCAAGAAATGCTGCTGCAAGAAGAAGAAGAACAAGAAGGACAAGAAGGGGATGAAAAATGCCATGAATATGAAAGACATGAAAGGCCAGGTGAAAACATCTCTCTCAGGAAAGATTACTTGGGAGCCTGGGATTGGCTTCATCCAAAGGTGCAAGGAGCACTTGCTCTGTTTTCAACTGGTAGAAAACCTGGTTTATCAGAATGCACATGCTCCTTGAAAGTTTGGTTCTTTATATGCACACAGTACATGAAAGACCTGCTGTGGTAGGGCCAAAAGTGGGGCATCATCCAAGGCTTTCAGTGCTTATGACAACTGTCATTGACATTGCTAGTGATTCCCAACTTTGGGTCCCCAGATTTCTTCAACTAAAACTCTCAGAAGCCTTCGTTACTAGCTGTGCTGAGCAGGATTTCTGGGTGTTGTAGCCCAAAAATGTCTGAGGACACAAGGTTGGGAACCACTGGATTAGACTATAAAATACTGAGCTTGGTAACAGTTAGGAGGACTTTAGTCCTATTGTAGCCCTATTTATTTATATGTTAATTTGTACTTGACCAACTTTTAGTTATAGCTACCATCTTTTCTCCATGAAAGCCAAATTAAAAAATATATATATATAAGGAAATGCATAGTGAAGTTGCAGACAAGGGCTGTGTTCGCTTATGACTCCAATTTCCCTGAGGCAGTGAATCTACTGAAGCTTTGAATCTGAATGATACAGGAGCTATCCAAGGTTCTGCATCTTCTTCCTAAAACAGGTAGAACACTTTGGCTAGCATCTTTAAACTACAAATTAAAACCTGGAGCAAATTTGTCATCACTACGACCCCACAAAATGGGAGTCACCAGGACTTGCTTTATTTCTGACTTTGGACGCAACCTTAGTTCTCTTAGGTAAACACCTTTAAACTTAATGTGCACTGTGCAAGCTTAGAATAGTACTGAATATTCTTCATAAGAGGAGAGGCTAAGGGAGCTGGAGTGGTACCAGCCTTGAGGCGTTTCTGGCATATCTTCCTGTTAGCCTAATCCACGGCCCATACTGCACCAAAGATCCAGAGAAGGTAGGCTTTCTATACCTATTCTCCTACCAGCATTGACAGCTTTGTTTAATGTGTCACAAAATGAGTGGAAAATCAAAAGCCATAAAAGTAAAAAAGCAGTAGAGTGTGTGTGTGTGTGTCCCAGTAAATTCACACTCATAAAAGCATTTTGTTCACATTTGGTGCTTATCATCTTACCAGTTCTACTTTTTTCTTTCTCAGGTTTTCATTGTTTGCTCTGCTGCAATACTCATTCTAACTCAGCAGCCAATCCCATTAGCATGTCATCCAGACAATAATGTAGATGCCCTGAATGGTTTGATGGCCTCTAAAGGCCTCTCTCCTGTCAGGGCCTTTTGACTTAGCAACTTGGGTGAGGAGACTGAGAAACAGATTTTTTAATAGCCTGTATTTCCTGATGTGTTTCCTTGTGTATTGTCTAGTCCAGGATTATCTAGCCATCTAGATCCCTCCACTGTGTGCAGAGCTGTTGCAGAGAATTAATTTTTCACATACAAGACACTTAACATTACTATACGCACCTCTGGGAACCTAGCAGAGCTCTTTGCATAGTTTTCTCAACAGTGCTTAGCTATGTCTGCTCTCTTATCAAAAGGCACAGAAGATGGAGAGTATCTTTCAGAGTCATAGGATACAATCCTACAGGGATTTTATTTCCGGAGTAAGTGAAATTGTATAGATCACAGTGATGAATTGCAGCTAATTAACAAGGTGCCAATCACATGATTGGCACATGGCCAAGTATGCTGCTAGGTACACAAAAGGCATCTGGCTAATTAGCTGCCACTTGTCACCATGATGTATACAATTTCACCTTCTCCTAAATAAAAGCCATGTAGGATTCTGGGCCCTGAATTGGAAAATGTCTTGGAGGTCATCTAGTCCACTGCTTTTTTGTTTTTTTATTTTTATTTTTTTTAAAGAACAACTCTAGGCAGATAGGCTTTGACCATTTTGGCAGGGGAATTCTGCAAGCTCTCACATTTTTGCTCCTTGGTGATTCCAAGTTCTACCATGACGGATGCAGATGCAAATACAGTAGTCCTGGCAAAAGGCAGTCCAATGTCTGCCAAAATGCTTCCAGTGGATGCATCTGACCTTCCATTGTCCAGCCTTTCTTACCATTAGAAGCTGTTGAAATCCTTTCAATAAGAACTACACAAAATCTCCTTCTGTGCAACTTCCACCCACTAATTCTAGCCCTGACCACTGGAGCAATAAAAAACACTTATTTTCCATTTTGGGCATGACAACCTTTCAGATATTTGAGGACTGCTTTTTTTTTATTTTTCTGTTTATTCAGTTTTATACCACCCATCTAGCTATCCAGGTGGTTCTTAACAGAAAGAAGAAACATTAAATCATAATTACATAAACATAATCTTATCTTTTCCAGGCTAAACATATCCTGGATGTGTTTTTTCAGAGATAGTGAGAAATGAAAATATTTACTTTTGGTCTAGGTGGTTCATCAATAACTGTAACAGCATTGATGGTGGGTTTCAAAAGTTGTACAAAGTCAAAATCATGAATCAGTAAGATAATACCTCTTCCTATAAATTAACTGATCTGTAGGAAGGGAAGGATCATAGAAAAGTGGCAGGGAATCACTGCTACCAGCCTTGTATTCACTGTTTAGAGGTCGGATTCTTGCCTTGGGCAAGGCACAGCAGTTTCTTTGGCAACATAAGTAAGAAGTGTGGGGAGATAGTACAGTCTTTGTATAGTTGTTACTTGAGGTTGAATTGTAGGTAGTATGCTGGGCTGGAGGAGACATCTGAGGCCAAGTTGATAGTATTATTCAATTATTCTCTCACCCACCTGCCCCAGTTATTGGTCCTAATAAGGCTATTGGCCTCCTATCCATTTAGGATTTTGTTTTCTTTTTATGAGCTACTTTTCATTTAATCAAATCAGGTTTTCCCATCGCTTCTCTATCCATACAGATTAACTCAAACAAATGCTTTTGTAAATATTGATTGTACTATTAAGGATTTTCAGATAGGAAACATACTGGATGCTTAGATGCATTGTTAATTGTCATGGAGAAATGTCTGACCCGTGCTTCCCCAGCAAGCAGGAGAACTATTGTAAGGATAACACTGAAAAGGCACAGTGCTGTGGAATTGATTTTATATTGAAATTTACATTGAGTCTCTGGTCACAATTAGGAGTGCAAGACACAGATACAGCATGTGATTTATGTTTTCTGATGAGACAGCCCATGGCTGGGCTAGACCACAAATGGACGGGGAAGCAGCTGTCATCTTACAGGGGAAACTGAATCCTCTCTGTCCTTCTGGCCCTGAGTGCACATCTGGCACTTCAAGCCAAGGAAGAGAGTCTTCCCCCTAGAATGTTACATCATTCTTAATGCCATTCACTCTCTCTGTGAACCTCTGGGAACACACATACACTCAGCTTCATCTTTACAACAGCTGTCTTTTCTTTTCTCTCCACTTCTTCTTCTTCATAAGAGATCCTTTTTAACAGACACAAATACTGTATGTGGTCCTGGGGTTATATTTCTTTTTCAAACAGAAAGTCATGTTTCCTTCCTTCCTTCTTTGCTTCCTTCCCTTCCCTTCCCTTTTCTTTCTTTCCTTCCCCCTATGTATTTCTGTGCTTTTTGGCTTCCAGAGAAACACAGGTCTAGTAATGAGGGACCACGAGGCTGACTGGTTTAAACTGCATGAACAAGGTGGCAGGCTTCTAAACAAAATGGAATTCAATACAAGGTGCATTGGCATGTCTGAGCCAAACCACACATGTTTAGCCTGACCACTTATTTTATGAAGGAAAAGCACTATGAGAATATTGTGCCCCCAGCCACATTTCGGCTCTGTGGTAGTTTCCTGTAAACAGCAGTTTTCAGAGGGGAGGCAAGCTTTGTTGGAGAATCAAGTGTGAGGTGCCAGTCTGGACCTTACATTGCTACTTTTGCTTCAAAATAGAAGTGGCCAGCATGCCCACACTCTTTAGAAATGTGTTTAATGTAAGATTTTGTCTTCCCCTCAAAATCTATTTCTTGCCTTTGACTTCTGAATCAACCTACTCCATGTATAATGTCCTGTTGAAGGTGTGGAATCTGTGGTTTCTCAGGAGCATTGAGTGTTGCTAATGATTTGTGCAGTTGTTGTCTCTATAATGCCCTTCTCTTCCTTCTCTGTGCTCTCACTGTCTTCCTTCTGTGTTGTTCTGTCTTCATCTTTTTCTGACTAACCTGGATGTCAACTCACGGTAGGTCCCGATGCAACCATCACTTCCCTTTTAGTCATAAAAGGACAAAGAAAGTGGGGAGTTTATCTAATATATTCCCCACAATTCCATACTTAGACGTTGTTTAGAATATGGTGTAAGGCCTGATATTGGACTCGAATTGGAGGAAGGTGAACAATTTTTTTCTTTGAATTCTGGTTTAAGGCATATTAAATTTCAAGTCAGTTTCTTCAGAGCTATTCAATTTGAAATGACGTCTACTCCAAACCCAGTTTTATTCTAATATAAATTGATAAAATCTTACTTGGAAGAACTAACATATCACATCTAACAAGAAACTCCAAGTGAGTTTGTTGGTGGATGAATTTACCTCAAGGCCTAAGTATGGGATATTTAGTGGACTGCACGTGTTTGTCACATATTCCTGGGTAAGGAGCTATTCTGACAATGTATGCCTGATAGATCTTTAGCAGAACTTGATCACATTTAATGTTAAAACCCTGAGTGATAGCCGTGTGTGTGCTGCTTGTGGGGGAGGGTGTGTGCATGTATGGATGCTCAAATTTTGTTTCTCTAAGTAAGATAAGGAAGAAAGCATTGAAATTAGCAGAGACGTCTCTGTCTTTTCCTCCCTATTAATATAGAATCATAGTATCATAGAATAGTTGAGTTGGAAGGGTCCTATAAGGCTATCAAGTCCAACCCCTGCTCAATGCAGGAATCCAAATCAAATACCCTAGCTGCTACTTCCCTTTAGTCACTAAACATCTGTGCTACTACCCCTGCTTTGTGACAATTCCACTGTGTACTATGTAGCTCTACCACCATTTTTCTCTGAACACACCACTCAGAATTTTCAGACGCTAAGCAGAATTGATCATGGTTAGTACTTAGATGAGAGACCAACAGATAATGTCAGGGATTTCCAGGTAGGGTGAGAAAAGAATCATTCCTGAAACCTTGGAGAGTCAATCAAGATAGATAGTACTAGGCTAAATGGGCCAAGGGTCTAACTCAACATATGTCAGGTTCCGAAGTTCACATGTACCTCCAATCAGAAACCAGTGTTTATTGTTAACAAATTCATCACACAAATCTCATTTTATGCTGGTTTCTCTGTCAGTTTTCAGAATTCTCAGTTGCCAATTAGATTAGAAGTCCCTGACTTTGTATTCCCAAGTTTAAGGACTAATTATTTGTGCTGAGTTGATTTCCCCTTTCATTAATTGTAGCAGTGTGCCTCATTTATACCTAACAGTTAGCCTGTCAGCTAACAAATGGAAAGGAGTAATTGCTCTCTACTAGATTTGTACATAGGGGGTAGGGAACATCATGTTTTTCCTAGCAACAAGATTGTACACATATGATTAAACATGAGGGGCAGGAGCTTTAGGCTCCCTCTTTTCATCTGTCCTTTGGAAGCTTGCTTTTCTCCATTCCCAAAGTAAAGCTTTCTAAATAATCACATGGGATTCTGTAGAAAGGTGAGGATATGGGAGAAAGGGTATATGTGTGAATGAAAACTTGTCTGTCAGTATAGGTCATCATTTTGCTGAATGGTTTGGTTGTGTTACAGAATAAACAGGATGACGACGATGATGATGAAGAGGGGGGAGAAGAGGGGGCAGAAGAGGAGGAGAAGGAACCAGAGAACCTTGGGAAGCTGCAGTTCTCTTTGGATTATGATTTCCAGGCTAACCAGGTAATGTGCACACATGAATAGGTGGACTGAGAGTGCCTGGATAAATGTCACCTAAACTTTGCTGAAGTAGGAGTGATAACTGTAGAGGTTTTGTGGTTGTGGGGGCCTCACTGCAGCCCAAAAAATTTTTTGATCCATTTCTTAATGGTTTCCCTTAAGATGAACCCTCACTGCAGCCAAAAATTCTTTTTTTAAAACCATTTCTTAATGGTTTCCCTTAAGATGAATAAAAATGTGAGTATTCCATCCTTCCTGGTGAAAAAGGCAGTTGAGGAGGAGCAGGAGCAAGCCACTGGTTTTTTCTTCACCTGCTTGTTGGTTAGCCAGAAAGCCAGAGTTGGAAACGATAGCTGGAAGCTGGCCTGAAAACCACAGGTCTCTATAAACTGTAGTTTGCCATTTATGTCCAAATTGACAAACCATCATTCTGCCTCTGGAGCAGCTACACTATAAAGATAAAAACGCTGAACACCAGGAAAACAGAAATAGTGGTCTTGCCAACATCTTTCTCTTTATCCACAGAGCTCAGTTCTTTCCTCTCCCCACCCCCATGTTCTTGTGATTATGACCCTGGCATTTCCAGCTTTTTTTTCTAAAGAAAGATCAAAGGAAGACAGGATGTACGCTCCATTTCAAAGGCTATCTCTGTGAACAAAGTTAATAGTGACAAGAGTTCCATAACAGTTTGGAAGTAGAAAGCCTTCCATTGTTGTACTAATTTCACTGCTTGGCGCTTCATCCCTATTCAACCACTTAGGTAGTGTAGGCAACTGTCTTCTTTCCTTTGGTTCATGTTAGATGTGTGCCTGCCTGGAAAGGATTATGACATGCCTCAAAAGCAAAAACGTCTGATCCCCAATCCTTGGCATCTCCTAATACTTCTATTAGGAGATGCCAAGGATTGGTCATCAGACGTTGAAGGACATCTCTTAGAGACCCTTTTTGGGCTGTTATCCTCAAGAACTGTTGCCAGTCAAAACAGATAGATGATTTGGGACTAGAACAGAGGTGGGAAAACTGCTGTCTGCTAGTCACATGTGACCCTAAAGGTCCATCCATGATTTTTTTTTAATGCTAAAGAGTAAATGATAGACTTAGAGGTGATGTTGCTTACAGTAGTGTGACCATGCTGGGCGGGGTTTTATGGAATTTGTCATCGAAAAAAGTTAACTCTGTCATGATGTAGAATTTTGTATGTGTAAAGGTGGTATAGGAAAAGTAGCAGTGAAAATGAAGTGCTTTTAAAATTGAAGCTTGAATAGTAGTTTACCATAGTCCTTGAAAAACATTTACCCAGCTCTCCAGCCAAGCAAGGTCATGGTACCATAACAATCTTGACAGTTGAACATATTTATATTACAATGTATAAACATGTGGAGGTAGAGTTTGCAAGTCCTATAGCTACAACATTCTGGTGTTCCAAGACTTTGGTGTTACAATATTTTGGTGTTACAATATCCTGGCTTTACAGTATCCTAGTGCATCAAATACTTTTTGATACGGAGCCTTTATCCTCCACACTCCAAAAAATTTAAATTGAAACAATGATGTTATCATCATAGAGGCAGCTTGCCAGATTTGGAGTTATAATATGTGCAAAAACAATAGAATTTCCTATTGAAAAAAAAAATCTTGGTGCTCCAGGCCCCTGGATTTCCAAACCCCTGCAGAAAAGATTGTTTTATGGTCTGAAGGGAAAGATAAAGAACTGTGAAAGCACTATAAAGATAGGCAACACGTACATACACATTCAACTCATCATTGCAATAGTGTGCAGTCATACACACTGGATGCCAACAACGATGACTATGTAGTAGTGCAGCAGCAGGCTTCATTTCCAGAAATGGCACACAAACACCATGGGTTTTCTTCCATTGATGCAAATTAGTACAAGGCTGGCTTGGCTGGGTGAGAACATTTTTTAATAATTTTTCATACATATCTTAATATACTTAAAAGCTAAGAAAGTCATTTTCTTGAATATATTCTTATTTATTAGATGTTTGGTAATTTAATGTATTCTTTTTTTTCCAATGTGCCTTTTAAAGGTATAAACTCCTGCATTTTTAGAACGTAATTTAACCAATTTTTTTGACATTTTTATTGCATTTTTATGCTCTTGCATTTTGGATTGAATTCTGACAAGCGTTTGTTTGCAATTTAAGTTTAGTTTTTATATATTTTTAAAGCATTTGTGTTTACAGTTTTTCCTCATAACTAAGAATGTCAATACCTTTTGACTTGCTATATTTTGAAATATTTTTGAGTTACGGAACATAGAAATGATAAATAAAGCTTGTAGAATTAGACAAGCTGATGTTGCCTGGAATTAATGCAATAATGAAAAGACTCGTACCTTGACACTCAATTTTGATATGATTGGGAATGATTGTCTGATTTCATTCTGGAATTAACTCTTTACTAGGATAAATGCCAGCTGTGAAAAACAGGCTTCTGATTTTTCCCTAAAATTTCTAAAGTTCTGTAGGGCTCTTAGGGAGAGGTTCAGGCATCAGATTCCTTGGCCTGACAACCCTTCCCATCTCTGGCATGGGTAAGATAAATAAGAAAGATTAAATGGGGCCACAGCAGGAAAACCAGAAGATGGAGGATACTGAGCAGCTGCAGAGAGTTGTTAGGTGGGGAAATGGATGTTCCTCCCCTCCATGGATATCTGCATGGTATCCATGGAGGAATATTTTGGTTTGCTGACATTTTTGTTTCTCCGACAGCTCACAGTAGGGATTCTTCAAGCAGCTGAACTCCCAGCACTGGATATGGGTGGCACTTCAGATCCTTATGTCAAAGTTTTCCTTCTTCCGGACAAGAAGAAGAAGTATGAGACTAAAGTGCAAAAGAAAACCCTCAATCCAACCTACAATGAGACGTTTGTCTTCAAGGTACAACATTTTCTTTCTTAGGAATCCTATGCAGTTTATAAATTATACACAGAATCTTAGTGAAACATTGGCATGGCTGTGTTTTCTTACAAAAAATATTCATCTGTTAGCAACAAATATTCCTTATGGAACTGTTGTCCAAAGGAGGAAAGCTGAAGAGTACATAATGCCTGGCAATTAAAGACATGTCATTATGTGACAGATTAGGAAAGGCTACACAGGTCAGTAAAACATCATTATTGAACATTGAGAGTAATGCAGAAGGCTAGCTGTGAATGAGCAGGAATACTGGAGCACCCCAGGGTACGGTGGATAAGAGGATCATAACATATTTGAAGATCAGTTATTAAAGCAGTTGACAAAGTTCAAAACAGAAACATACAATATGATATACACTGCAGTAATTAGAAAAGTAATAATCACAGTAGTAGTGATAACTAATCTTAGAACTGCAGAGCCGGAAAGGATATAACTTATTTTGTGGTTTCATATTTATTTTATAGCATTGTAGATTTTATTTGATTATTGAATAGCTTTGTTTAATTTCTTTAAAGATCGTTTTGAAGTCATTTCATTGAGAGCACCATGCCTTACATCTTTAAATACAGAGCAGGCCTCAAAAGTCATAAGTAAATATATTTAGATATACCACATTAGACTGTAGATAAGCAATTAGAAAATAAATATTAGGTCTGCTGATCATTGTGTCAGTGGACTGGATCCACATTTTGAATACAAAAATTGGCCAGTGGAAGGAAATTTCCCAGCCCCTTTTCTCACATTTGCCTTTGATGGAAGGTCTCCTCACTGATTTTGGGGTTGGGGTACTCCTTCACCAACTACAATTTATGCTAGTCCTCTCTATAACATTTATAAAGGGACGGGAGAGATGTGTAGCAAGGAAGCCTGTTTCTGCTAACCAAGTTACATATAACTAATTGAGGTTCACCCTGTTGTGTTAAGCTGCCAAAATGTCATAGTGAACACGCACACTCTTCCAGAATGCTCCCAATAATGAATATGTTGCATCAAGATCAGCTACAAAGTTGATATGAAGGGCCAGATCCACTTAGCTTTTATAGCCAAACCTTAGTACATATTTTACACCATTGTCTGGAGTAATAAGCAGCTGCTAGTTTGTTTCTAGTATAGCAAGAATATCAGGAGTTGTAAACATTTAGATTGGCATCTGTCTAGAATTTTGACCTTAGTTTGTCTCCTGAATTGTATACTCTGGCATCATTTTGCTAAAATGGTTCTGAAGGAATTCATTCATCATATTGGAGTAATAGTTTGTTCTGGGGTGTATTTGTTTTTCATATGTACAGTCTTTCTTTATTTCTTCCAAATATTTTTATTTCATATTTTTGTTTCCTTAGAAATTCTCATAAAAGATTATAGTCTAAAGTCATTCTTTTTTAGCTGCTGAAATCAGAATACCAATTTAGAAAGATTGGAAATGCAAACATTGTTGTAAATCATAGTGGCTTTCCTGAGTTTTGTTCTGTTTGTTGTGTTATTTTAATTTCTCTGTATCTTTTTTTTAGTAATTTCAGTTATTTTATTAAATAAAACCTATAGGATCCTAATTTTAGTGCAACCACGTGAGACTGTTCTTAGAGCCTTTTGATAGTTCCTTTCAGATGCATTACATTGATTGCTAACCAGTCATCCTATTGTGTTATAGATTCCTTATCAAGAGCTGGGTGGGAAGACCTTGGTGATGGCCATCTATGACTTTGACCGATTTTCTAAACATGACATCATTGGGGAAGTTAAGGTGCCTATGAACACTGTGGACTTGGGTCAGCCCATTGAAGAGTGGAGGGACCTAGAGAGTGCAGAAAAAGAAGAGGTAAGTGAAGAAATGATGTTACCCTCTATCCAACATGAGTTTAAGCAGGTAGATGACTTTTGAGTAAGGACTGTATCCTTTAGTTTGAGCCTTCATCTCAAAACTATTTATAGCTTTTGCTTTTGCTACTAACCTGTCTCGGCTTGACATCATTTTCCTTTGTCACTACCAAGGGAATGAAAGCTGCTTAGATTAGTCTAGAAGCCCAATTCCCTGCACCTTATTTGTGGGATGAGGCCATGGATTTAAAGATCAGCATGGAAAAACTAGTGTGAAGCAAGTGGTGAGAGGGGTGGGGGGGCATCCCTAAGCTCTAATATCATATAAGAAGTCCTTAATTCTAATTTAGCAATTCTTTTTCAAAAGGACATATTTATATTATTAAGGTTTTCCAACCTCAGTGGTTTCCTCTGCAGCTTATTCTCCATCCTGTCTTAAGGCAAAAATTCATAGGATATTTCAAAAGTTCCCTCAACTTTTTTTCTTCCATTTAGTTTTTTCTCTCTCTCTTCTTTTCATTTTTAATCCCAACCCCATTTTTAGATGATTTATGTAAAAGGTAAACACTCATTGTATTGTAGACTCATTGGGGGACTGCAGGCAATGCTCTCTATTGCACTGTAGTCTGTTGTTTATTATTTTCTAAATTTTTCTAAACTTCATACTTTGGCCTGCATCTTTCTGTAATTGGGATCCAAACATATTATAGAAAGGTTTGGAATTTGATTATTCCCTTTTTGATGCAGAGAAAAGTGTGAAGGGATTTGCCCAATTTCACATGCTCACTTGGAAAAGGAAACATTTCTGTTCAGCATGTTTCTTAATTAATGAAATTAAAAAAGGAAAAAACAATACGCACTGTTGTTCCTTTTATAGAGAGTGTAGAACTATGCCTATATTCAGAGAGCAGCAAATGGAGAGAGGAAAGGTGGCTAGCAAAGCAACCAACAGAAAGGAAGGGCAACCTCAAGGACTTGGAGGCACGGAAAGAAACTCTTTAACTTTACAGCGGATTCAGCACATGCTCCACACTGACACCTAGTGTTAGAGAAGAAGCATGCAAAATTGTAATTTTCCAACACAAACATTTACCCCAGCTCTAAACTAGAAAATAAAATCAAATGAAAGGTAGAAATCTGATGCTACTTAAAGCAAGAACACTTCTCTCACATCCCTGTCTGGTGAGACAGCCATTGTTGTTCTGCTACATCACAAGACAGATATCCAAATGTTAAATAAAGGGTGAGAAGCAATTCACCCTACTCTGAGTTTTACTGCAGTCTTTGAGCATCTTCCCCCTGGAGCTTTGTGGATGTCTAAACTGTTCTGCTCCCCATCCCTTGTGGGGTCAGCAGGTAACCCATCCTCCATGCCCGTTTGCATTGACTCCACACAGTCCCGCTCAAGCTGGGAGAGAAAACAACAGAGTTTGTGCAAATCCTGTTACTTGACTTGGGCAAAGCCGACAGCACTTGCCTCTGCCCAGTCTCAGCTCAGTAAAGGCCTGGGTAGGCTCCACTGGGGTCCCTGGGGTCCAGGTAGTCCTTTAGTGTGGGGTCTCCATGGAGGACCCAAAGTGGGGACCCTGAAGAGAGTCGCTTCGTAAGTTTATAGTGAGGGCAAGGCTCAGAGCTCACCAATGGCAGGGGCTTTGCAGTGGTGGTGGAGGCAGTGGCTGCTGCTGGTATTCTCTGTGCCTTTTTCATGTCCAGCATTGCCTCTCAGTAGGCTTGGGGTCCGCTTGGCTTAGCACAGCCTGGCAGTGGTAGTCTTCACATTGAAACCAGGTGTAGCTGCTCAAACTGGGCCTGTCTGGTCAGCTGCCTTGCCCTTGCGGTGCACAGAACTCAATGAGGAATCCTGTTCAGGAATCTTCATGGTAGATTTAGTTCCAGTCCCTTCACATGCTCCTCTGCCTTCTCAGCACACCTCTACCTCCTCCTGGGCATCTCCCCATGCCCCTTCCCCCTCCGGGTCCAATGATTCAGATGGGGTGTAATGGCATCCTCCATCCTCCCTCTCACCAACTGCCCCCCAGGCCTCCTCTAGGGCTTCTCTTATAGTCTCCAACTAAAGACAGGTCCCCTGCCCCATGTGTTCCTCCACTTACTTCAGCAGTGACCTTGACCTCCGTCCCCAAGTTGGGCGTCCGCATCCCACACCTCTCACAGATCCAGCAGTACCTGGTTCTGAGGGTCTTGCTTGGGTGTCTAAGTTGAGGGTCAACACCCCCCAGGGATCCCAGCAGCAACCCCTTCCCCCAGGATGTTATGCCATGTTAACTTGTTCATTTAGATCACTGGTTCTTAACCTTGGATTACTCAGGAGTTTTGGACTGCAACTCCCAGAAGCCTTCACCACCAACTGTGCTGGCTGGGGTTTCTGGGAGTTGCAGTTCAAAAATATCCGAGTAACAAAGGTTAAGAACAACTGATTTAGATTACCAAAAGGCTAGCGGTTCATTCCATGTCTTGACACTAGCCAGGTACATGGTAAAACTTCCCTCTGTTTCCTCCCACTTTCCTTGATCTATTTTTTTATATTCATACTTGCCTCCCATCCTGTCAACAAATCAAAATCTACAGCATCTTTCTTGTTCCTCTTACTCACTGTTGTTGTTGCTGCCTCCCCCTCCTCCAGCTAAGAAGCCAAATGTCCTGCAGCAATGCTTGAGGTGGGAGGAAGTTGGATCACTGCCATCTCAGACACCTAGGATGCCTTGGGAATATGCAGACATCAGCAACAGTAGCATGGTTCAGTTCACTGGAATGTTCAACTACAACATCCAGATTGTTCAACTATCTGAAGATGTGCTTAAAACCACACTGTCTAGGGATCCAGGGAGTTGTCATCCATTATACCTACAGGGGCATCAGGTTGAGCAGAGCTGTGCTAGATGTGCCTAGAGATAGTGACCCAATAACATGTTTTCAGCACCCTATGAACAGAGTCATTCTGTTACGCATGATTTCCGTGTTAGATTCAAGACATTTCTGACAGTGTCTAGATTTCCTGAATCCATTGCTGTGTTATCCTCCACAGCCAGAAAAATTGGGAGACATCTGTATCTCATTACGATATGTGCCTACTGCTGGGAAGCTTACTGTCTGTATCCTAGAGGCAAAGAACTTGAAAAAGATGGACGTTGGAGGGCTTTCAGGTGAGTGCAGGTCAAATTCATATCCATTGGATGGCACACTGGAGCCTGTACAAAATCTTATTGGGATTTTTAGGCGGGCAGTAACACAGATGGAATAACTATGGGAATGTATTGCCTCAAATTAGGAAATAATCATAGACATTGGTGTACCAGGTCACACAATTCAGTGCATACCGCTAATGTCTATGCTGATTTCTTAACTTGGCAATTCGTCTCCGAAAGCTATGTCTTTTGCATTGTGCTTGCAGGTGTAGCCAACAGGATTTTGAGGGGTACATCTTAATTTAATCAACTACAGTGTCCTTCTGAATGGTTTTGTTAAATAGGACCTGAGAGCATGGCATGTTCTTTCTGAAGATACCAATCCAGAAGGTGGTGCCAGGGACATCTTAACTAGACCTTGGGAATGTTATTTGGGGGGAGGATTGCATTTTCCAGAATCTCCCACCATGCTGATTGGGCATTCTGGGAGTTGTAATCCCAAAAAAGTATTTCAACAATTTGAATAATTCACTCATCCAGAAAGGGAGGGTTGCACTGCTTTTCAGTATTACAGAAAAATGTATTCACTTATTTTCCTGCACAACTCTGTGCACTGATAAGTTACATCTGAAGTGACAGTCACATTCTTGAGGGAATTAGTAATAGCTATGATTTTTCCTTTTTAAAAACAAAGAGAGATTTTTGCAAGGACACACATGATCTGTCACGTCCATAGATATTCCACAAAGGCTACTCTAAACTCTCTCCTATTTGAGATAATGGAGCAAAACATGAGATGCATTACTGGACTTGTACTTGTACACACTTGTTTCTGTGTATTGGCCTGTAATGTTTGAACTGTTTGGTCCTCTTTCTTAGACCCCTATGTAAAGATTCACCTGCTGCAGAATGGCAAAAGGCTCAAGAAGAAGAAGACTACTGTCAAGAAGAAGACACTGAATCCTTACTTTAATGAATCCTTCAGCTTTGAGATTCCCTTTGAACAGATACAGGTTCATGTGTTTCTCACTTGGGGAAGTCTGGAGGCTGGAGATATAAAGGGTTTTCAAGTCACATTAGTCATCCATAAAGCACTCTACCATCTTGGCTATAGCAGGAAACTTGAATGATCAAAACTCATTTGGCTCTCTGGATTCAAGGGACAAACTACTGTATAGGCTGGCCTATTTTCTTCTCCTTTGTTTGTATACCACCTTACCTTGAGCTAGCAAGGGACAAACTACTGTATAGGCTGCCCTATTTTCCTCTCCTTTGTTTGTTTGTATACCACCTTACCTTGAGCTATCCAAGATGTTTTTATAGTTCAGCTTTGGAAGGGGAAACAGGTTCAAGGGATAATGTTTAAACAAGCCAGAATACAGTGTGTCCAGGGTAAATCCTATAGAAGTTCTAATGTGTAGTTACAATAAGCTTTTTTTCATGATTCCAGGCCTGCCTGGATCAATTATTATCTGAGAAAGAGAAGTCTGTAAGCATTGGCATGACAAAAAAGGGACAAGTTCAGCAATAAGAATAAAATGCAGTATTTTGTTTATTTCCTTCTTTATATAGTACCTTTTCTCCAAAGGGTTCATTGCCACATGGATTATCCTTTGATTTGTATTTCTGCACTGACCAAGTGGTTGGACTCGATGGCCTTATAAGCGTTCCCCCTTCATGATTCTATAATTATTCTTCTACTACCAAGATCCCATTTTATGGCAGGCTAGGCTGAGTTTCACCCAGTGAGATTCATAGATGAGGAGGGATTTGAAACAGGATCTCTAACATGCTAAGCACAACACCACACTGCCTGTCCAGTCTTTCTCATCATATCAGAAGGAAACATTCTATTAAGATGAATAAAATCTTATGCTAATTGGTGCCATTCCAGTATATGTTACCAATATGAGACTGTATGTAGTTCTTCTTCCAGTCCAGACAGTATTGGGAAAAATGCAGTGGAAAGAATGAACAATAGTTGTCCTGATTATGACAAAATGAAATTAATTTTGAATCTTTCTGAACTAAGAAAATCAAATGATACTGTCGTGCACAACAAATGTCCCTTAACTCACACATATTTTTGTTTCTGTATTGTGTAGTGCAATATAAAATATCCGATCTAAAGGGAATTTTGAACACCAGATGGACAAAGTAAACAATACTTAGAACAATCTTAAAGAGGTCCAATAAGAAACAACAATAAGTTTTTAAAAAGAGTGGCCAGTCTAAAGGCTGTATCACATTCAAAGGCTGTAACCGATCCTTGTTTTTACAAAGAATTGTATGATGCCAGGATCCAATGTATCTCTGATTCCAGTTAAATTTATGCTAAGAGGAATTCATAGGTTGATTGTCAATGGCTGATGCACAAATTGATTTGTATGCCTCCCTGCAGCCTCACCCAATTTTTTCTGAAGATGTGCTTAAAAGAAACAAAACACTAAGAAGCTAATTCTATATGAAAGTTATTCCACATTTTAGCACTGTGTAACATAACAGCTTGTTGGAAAAATTCATGTGTGTAACACGTACTGGAACAAGGCAATCCATATGTCTGTATATATTAAAATAATTGATTTGGGGGGGGCAGGTGTCCCTCTGCAGACACCCATGCTGCTGCTCTCATGCCATTTCCTCATCTCATTATCCTGAGGTGTAGGATTAAGCAAGGAACCATTTTTTCTTCTTCTTTTACAACAGGCAAGGTCAAAAGATAAAGAGTGGCTGTCTGGGCAGATTAACATTGATAAATTAAGATCATCTGAACACCCACCTATCTACAAGAGATTATAGTGGGTACTGAATGAGCCCATATTAATAAAGTTTCTTCTCTTGCTTCTTTTCCAGAAAGTGCAAGTTATCATCACTGTGCTGGATTATGACAAGCTGGGAAAGAATGAAGCCATCGGCAAAATTTTTGTCGGCAATAATGCCTCCGGCACGGAGCTAAGGCACTGGTCTGACATGCTGGCTAACCCACGTCGCCCCATTGCCCAGTGGCATTCCCTGAAGCCTGAAGAAGAAGTGGATGCAGCTCTTGGGAAAAATAAATAGGCAGGTCCACACCCCAGCATCACCTACTGAACATTCAAGAGCTATCAATACCTCAGTTAGGCAACATTTGATTTCTGTTCTGTTTTCTGAGCTGCAGTACCCTTTCTTTGGTGGCTGTAGAGGGATTCCGAATGAACTCAAGAGCATCCTGGTTGAAAAAGTTCAAAGATACAGTGGTTCCCTTCACATTCTTCAGAGTGGTTTGGCTGCTGCATGTTCCTTCATCTCTCCATATTGTTCTCTCCAAGCGCAAAGCAAGCTTTTTTCTTGGGTTTTCCTGAGAACTCCATAAACAACAGCACAACATAGCTTTGCTTTTATTCACTGTTGGATTTTCTTCCTTGAATTGGATCTTTGAATATTGTACTAGGATGTTACCAGAGCCTGACCACGTGAGTCAACCAAATACACTGTGTTTGCTTTGGAAAGTGTCTGAAGTGGTGGTGCTGTTAGGAATCGTAGGAGCATCACGATGCTTTTTGACTTTGGTGTCCTTTGGCCATCCGTGCCATCTAGCAGAGAGAAGAAGCAGTAACTCTGGTACTGGAACATCTCTGGTTTTTGGGATAGCTGGTGGATTAATTCTCTATAATAGGAATATAGTTTGAGGCATACATATTGCCTAATGTTAATTGCCCTGTAACATCAAGGTAATGCAGCAGGTCTTCTGTTCCTTTGTAGTGGTCTGTTTTTTTAAAAAAATTAGAACAATGGAGTGGTACTGGAAATTATCAGAATGTGGTAGCTCCACTCATAACTATCCACTTCCAGTCCAAGTGTGCATAGAAGAACACAAAATATTATTTTCCATTTATGTTTAAGGTGGGATAAAGAGCATGATGGAATCTTTATGTAAATAGTAAGATATAGCAAGCTGGCAATTCTTGTGACATTTGGAAGGGTCAAGCAGGTATGTGCAAAGCTGGGATTCATCTTCACACAGCTTTGCTAGTCTGAAAAAAATACCAGTCAGTCCTGTGCAGATTTGCATACACTTCCCATCATATCTTGCACTGCCTATTTATTTATTTATTTATTTATTTATTTATTTATTTATTTATTTATTTATTTATTTATCTTCCTTCCTTCCTTCCTTCCTTCCTTCCTTCCTTACTTACTTACTTACTTACTTACTTACTTACTTACTTACTTACTTACACAATAACTTGATATTTAGAGATTTCTCCTGGTACCTTTATTTGGAACTGGAGCAGTGTGGCAGGAACCGACTGAGGGATTGTGGCCCATGTGCTCTTATTCTCTGAGGACCAAGACCAGTCAGATGCCGAGAGAAGAAAGGAGAAGCAGCGTTGCCTGGTAGTCCACAGAGTCCTAGATGGATCTTATATATTTGTTAACCTATTTCCCAGTGGAGGGAGTTGAAGGATCCAAAGTTTTTAGCTGGGGGCACTCTCCTTCATCCCAATGTTACACTCAATTAAGAGGAAGCATAGTGAAAGAGATGAGAAGGAGAATGAATCCATTCCGATCAAAGGACCAAAGATGCACCAAAGGCAGCATAGTCGCTGTCTCTATAGCACTGTCTGGCTTCTAAAAACATTAGTGGCTTTTCTGCCGATCCTGGAGGGATAAGCCATATTATCTTTGTTACCTGGTGTTTGCACTGACCACAGAGTGGCTGTTTTATAGGTAGCCCCAGATATTAATGTCCTGAATAGAGTTTGTCGGTGGAAAGCAAATAGGGTGGGAATGGAAAAGAGATTGACCTTGGCACTGTTCCGGAGCTTCTGTGCTCTTGGTGAACCTTCTGCCCCTGTTGATTCACATTCATAGTCGGAAGCAAGAACCTATGAACCTGGATCTCATACCCACATTTAGCTTAATTTTATTCTGTGAGTGACCACTCAGTAAAAAGCAAATGTTGGAAAGATGGAAAGAAAGCAACCCCATCAATGAGGTACTCAAGCCTGCTCAAATTGCAGATTTAGGGAGGGAGGATCCCAAACAATGGTGCTCCATTAGGAGAAAATCCTGCTTTAGCCAAGGAAGATCTGTTGTGGGAATTCCATTCACTGATTTAGTGTGGATCTGATCATGGAAGTCCTGTTTGCTCTTACACAGATAAATAATTACCTTTAAAGTTTATATATATAAAATAGTAGATGAGACTGACATTTAAATAGAGAGTGAGAGAAGGAATTTAATCCACAGTCTTTCAGGCAGTTACATCTCCCCTTGTATTTTGGCCATAAACCCAAGACTTACATACCAGAACAGTGTCAGCTGCTTGTCCTCTAATTCCATAAGGAATTCTGCCCTAGAAAGAACAGTCTGGCTAGTGCACAAGGCACCCTCTTCTTGGGCCATGCACAGAGTACACTGCCTACCCATGTTGTAGAGCTGTATTTCTAAGAGCTGCTCTTTTTTTCAGCTAGCTAAACTTGTAAGAAAAGTGAGAAGCAATTCTCACTAAGGAGATGGCAACCCTACATCTGGGCTGTACTATTCTGACAGCAAGGTTAGGGCAGTGCATGTTTGAATGTCTCCCTCTATACGACTAGCAAGCAAATATTCTACATAATAGGAAAACCAGCATGTTGAAAGAGTAAGATCTTTCTCCTCAGCATCTACCTTTCTATATGAAATACATGTTTATGTATTTTGTTTTTGGAATGAGGCAGCATTCCTTGACAGGATGTGGCACAGCCTCAAAACAAAACTCACATTGTTTCTGTCACAGTGGGGCCATAGCAAGCAGAATTATCCTATGATCATTCATGTGCAGTGTGATAGAATGGAATGCTTCATGCTAATACTGCACAGGTCTTACCTCAGTTCTGGTTCTCTTCACCCCCTCACTAAATCATTGCAGAGCTAATGGGGGGGGGAGCCATTGCCAGCTTTTGAAAGGCTCCTCAGATTCACAAATGTCCTGGTATGGATTGTGAAGAAGGGGAGAGAATGAAGGCCTTCAGCATGCTCCAAGCAGATTCCCTTTCCTGACCTATCACAGCTAAATAGCTAGAATTGAGGGTGAGATGCCACTATTTATGGATTGTAACCCTAGTCCAAGGAAGAATTACTGGAAGTCCAGAAATCTGGGCTTTGCTCTTAATATGCCCTGCATTGTTATATACAGCCATGGGTATGCCTGAATCAGAAAAAAGACAGAGAGAGAGAGAATCCATTACGGCTTTGGTGTAAAGATAGCTTTGGTACTGGTTTGTTTTCTGTTATCATTTTGAAACTTAGGATATACTAATATTCCCATAGCTCCTTTACTGTGCCTCTCTTAGCTTTTGATGCTGCCACTGACAAGGATGTAAGGTTTTAAGGAATAATAATAGAAGGGTGTCCTTGTGTTGTTCTGAATCTGTTTGTGTGAGTTTCTAAAAAGTAAATCTAACACAATTACCAATCACATGCCATCAAAACAGCACCACTATAGGGCCAGGGAATTCCAAGAGCAGATGGAAGAACCACAGGAGTTTTCCTTCCACATACAGCAAAAGCTATATCAGCGTGTCTGGTGCCTTTGCTGGTTGACAGCATGATGGGATTGTAAATTCTTTAAAACTCAGAGATTCTCATATGTTCTATATTAGATCTTCAGTGTCTTATCTGGTTAAACAGTGATGAGCACTGTAGTGTATGTGTGTGTGTTTTTTTCTGTGTGTGTACAATTCCTGGTCTTTAAAGGCATTATAATTTGGATAGAGTCTGATAGAACAGTATGTTTTGCTGTCTTACAGTGCCTATTTTACTTTCCCAGATTTTTTTTTCAAGAAGAGCTCTACATCATTCTTTCAGCTGTCATAAAATCTAGAATCAGTTCTGTCCATGAATCATTACCATTTACATGGATACTAATAATTTATTATTATTATTATTTGAACATTCAAAACAGTCTTTATTATTATTATTATTACATTTCTAATTACCTTGCAAGACTACAAGGTATAAGCAAATGTATAGCATTATACATTTTATAAATGGGATCTTCATAAGTGCAAAAACTTCAGTTCTTTGTTTGCATTAGTAATTCATTCTAACAGTGTCAAACTAAGTTGGCCATGCCTTAATTCTCAGTAGCAGTGCAATGCTGTGTGTGTCTACTAAAAAAAATAAACTCTTATATGTAAATGAGATTTACTCCCAAGAAACTGTGTAGAAGAAATACTGCCCTCCCCAGCAAAAACAGGTGGGAACCAAATAGCTTCCTTGATTAATATACATGGGTTGGAATCTTGTCACTTAGAGTAGTAAATCACACTAGAATAGGCCTATTAAGTTAGTGGGGATTTGGTGAGACATAAGTCACATTGATTCAAACGTGCCTATTCTAATTGCAACTTACTTATTTGAATCAATGGAATCTATGGAAGAACTGACTTATCAAATCCCCACTGATCCAGCAGGCCTGCTGTAGAGCAACTTAATAAATGAAGCAACAGGATTTCAGCCACTGACTCCAAAACTCATAATCTAACATTGTGTTTTCATTTAACTTGAGTTAGTGGTTCTGCTCCTATTCGTAGATTACATTTGGCTGTAGTGTGAGTTCTGTGGCAACTGGTTGGAGCAAGACAGAAGGAAATCTTCAAAGCAATTATCATGGTCCATCAGTTTTCAGGGGCAGCTAATTATAGGCAACAATAGGCATTCCTAGATGAGGATGCCCATACTAAATTGCATTAAATAGTTTAATACAGTACATCCAGTTTGTTGGGCCTTAGGTGAGTAGTGCAGTCAGAATGGAAGATAAGCATCCATGTCAGTAGTTGAAGTAAGGCTGCTTAACTGTATAAATTACTTTGACCTGATATTTGAGGATCTTGAATTTTTAATAAATCACATTGCAAAATAGCAGTAGCAGTACCACTTCTGTTTCTTTTCCTGCTGATAACAATCTAGGGTATTGTCTTTGAAAACAATTATGTACAAGTATTAGCACTAAAAAAAAAAGTCAAAACACTAAAATGGTGTATCTAACTTCTGCTATTTAAAATGAGGGGGAGCTATAACTTTAATACACAACATTATGTATTTCGTTTCTGTTTCTTTTTTTATGAAAGGGAGGAAAAACACGAACCAACTCAAGCCATCTGAACCTCATCCAAGTCCAATCATCTGTGCGTACTTATATATAAAATGATATAGAGATTTATTATCATAAATAAAATCCTTTATAAACAATGCATGATGACTAGCCAGTACGTAAGTAGCAGCATGCCAAAAGCAGAATCTGTACACTATGTGTGACATCATTGCCCATTTTCTAGAATACAAAACTACAGGCTACAGAGTTATTTTTAAAATGTGGTGTGGATGAATTTATTTTATCTAATAAGGTAGAGAGGGTGGGGGAGGGGTTATAAAAACATAGGGAGAGAGAATGGTCATTACAATGTACGCTTATTTTCAATAAAAAAAGTAATAATTTTTTAAATAAAAAAAGCAACAAAGCATGCCTGATCCACTAAAACATATTCCTTGAAAGCGCGCGTGGGGGGATCACAACACCTACAATATGGCAGTGAATTTCATCAGTGTCTTGTAATCTACATTTGCAAACTGTAACTTGTTCAATTTTTACCATGTCTTGGTAGCAGCAACATCGTAGCTTCAATGTTGTGTCGTGTTGAAGCATTTCACTGTTGAAGCAAATTTAGAAGCCATATTAGATCACTGACTGCCAGAATCCTGAAGATGGGATTGGCTGACAGGTGGTCCTCGGTCTCTCTGCTCTCCCTTGCTAATGTCTTCTGTTGTCTTTGTCTCTTTTGCCATCTGTGTCTTATGTTATTCCTGAGAACATTTGTGGGTTACCGAGAGTTCTCTTGGGACTGAAGCCTTCCTTTTGATTTGACCCTGGATGGAAGAAGCCTCTAGGGAGGCCCTTCTTAGATGGAGCTGTGAATGGCATTCTTCTGAAGCCTTTTCTGAGCATGCCCTCAGGGCCAGCATCAGCTGCCAGCACCTCAGGCACCTGCCAGGACCAAAGTGCCCTGGCAGGGACCACCAGTGCTGATGTCTGTTTTCACCCACTCCTCTGGCCTTGGGCGTATCTGATGTTACTGGTTGCTTTGGGGAAGCTGGCTGCCATTTACCAGACTAGCCACTGCCCCTGAATGAAGTCAACATGTAATCACAGAAATCTGGCAGAAGTGATAGCTGGAACCTTTCTAGAGACAGCTTTAAATCTCCTGCCAGCCTTGCTTCCTCAAAGCAAAACATACCGTTTCGCAAACAGCAACAGGACTGACAGTAGTACCTTGCCCTTCATTTTGTTCTTGCCAGTAGAAGATGAAGTACATGTATGACATGGAGGGCATGCCTGTTGTCTGATGCTCCTTTTTGTTGTAAGAAGATCGTAAGAGAAACTGTACAGAATGTAGCCTCAGGGAGACAGGATCAAAGTGGCACACAAACTATATCACAGATGGAAAGGTTTCAGATGTTTGATATTCATGGGCACGGTGGCATATCTGCCCCCTCCGCCTCCCATTCCTGTCACGCTTCAGCCCTTCCCTGTCAAGCACAAACTTCCCAAACAATCTGAGTTAAGTCAAGCCTTGACCCGCTTTCAGCACTATTCGGCCATTACTCATCTGGGTGGATTCAACATGCAGGCAGGGAAGGGCCTGGCTCATTCCTCTCTGTTGTGGCTTTGGAAAGCAACCAGCTGACAAGGAGGAGCTCTGGAAGCTTTCCCAGCATTGTCCTCCACACAAGGGGAAGCTGCCCTCTTCAGACATGTCACTTTCTTTCTGAAAAAAGCAAGGCCATGGGTAGGAGTGGGGGGTGGGGAGCTAGATGTCCCTTTCCTGATAGTGTGGTGAGTAATATCTGAATAGGGTTGTCATCTTTTCTTCTTCCAGTGCAATTCATGCTCTGCAAATCAAATTCCACCCACCTCATTTTGCTGTAAGCTGCTTTTAATGCCCCTTTCTCTGCCTTTGTGTGGACTCTGTTTCTGTCTTTATTGTTAAACTGTTATTTTGTAATGATATGTGTCTCCTTATTAAAGAAACTAGCTGAAAGAACCGGTCATTCTTTTCTGTCCATATTATTTACCAAAGAGCAGCCTCTTTGCCACATACACTTCTTGGATGTTACAATTTAGCAAAGAGGTTGGATAGCTCACTGAGCTGGAGTACTCTGACTTCAGAATCAAGGGCTATGAGTTCAAATTCACATTGCACCTACCAAGAGAATATGCAGCCTATGTAACCTTGGGCAAGCTTCACAGTTTTGGAGTGCTCTCAGAAGAAGGCAGTATTAAACCATTTCTGAGTGCTTTAAACTAGAAAATCTTGAAAGGGATCACAGTAAGTGACTCACTCTGGGCCCTGCATGGCAAATCTGATTGCACTCAGAACTTTTTTTTAAAGGATGCTACTACTACTTTTTTAAAATAATTCAATTGGACACAAAATGTGCAGCTAGAAAAACTGTGTGTGATTGAAAACTTATAAAGAACAAATTAGAACAAACAGGGTGCATTTAACAGTAAGGCATCAGAGTTTATCTGTCAATTTCCCACTGCACATTTTTGTATCCAACAGCATTGCTAAACAAAAAAACCAAAAACAACAACCCACAAAACCATTTGCTTCTGCTTCTTAAAACTTGGAAGCATATCCTCTGTAAGCAAATGCATCGCTGAGCACATACTAATCTTAGAACATAACTGCCCTTGGCCAAAATGTAGTTGTGAGCAAATGTTTAGCCTTGAGAAAAGTAGACTAAAGGAAGATATGACAAAACTCTCAGATCTGCTTTGATATGGATACCTGTGCAGGGGGTTGGACTTGATGGCATTATAGGACTCTCCCAATTACATTATTCTATGATTTTGTTGTTCTATATATGCAATCAGATTGTGTCATTTTCCCTCCCTCATCAATGAGTATGCTTTCATTTGTAATGCCACTTAAGCAATTTATTTCAAAGTATGTTTGCATTCCTTATATCCTTACATGTGTTTTATCAAAAGTAGAAGGAATCTGGTTCTGGACAATAAAAGAATTTGGCAAGCTTTAACAAATGCAATGCATTAAAATTTTATGAAGCTGCAGTCATGAAATCCTTGCAGGGTGATGCAAAAACAAAAATAAATGAGGAATTATTTCTATCTGAAGTGTACATGTTAAGGAACAAATTGACATTGGTGGAAGAATATGTCTACCCACCCATTCGCTTCCAGGGTATCAGGAACTCGTATTTAGTAAAGTCCCCTTTCCTCACTACCAGAGGCATCCATTCTTTATCTATACAGCCTGTGTTAGTCACTGTAAACTTTGATGAAAGAAGTGTCTTCTTTCCTTCTGTAGGTAACCTGTTTCCCTAAAAATAAGACAGGGTCTTATATAAATTTTTGCTCCAAAAAATGCAATAGGTCTTATATTCAGGGGATGTTTTATTTTTTTCATGTACAACAATCTACATATATTCAAATACAGTCATATCATCATCTTCTAGTTACTGCACAATGGTGGAGGGTGGGGTTTCACTTAACTGGGGCTTATTTTTTGGGGTAGGGCTTATATTGCTAGCATCCTGAAAAGTCATACTAGGCCTTATTTTTAGGTTAGGTCTTATTTTCAGGAAAGCAGGGTACCTCAAGAACCTGACTAAGCTAGCAAGGCTCTCCTGAAGTGATCAGGTTCTAAGAAATCATCTTTAGCTCCAAGAACCTGATTAAGCTAGCAAGGCTCTCCTGAAGCGATCAGGTTCTAAGAAATCATCTTTAGCTCAGTCATTGAGTAATGGATGAAAATAGGCAGGTTACAAAGAGAATTTAAGTTCTGCACAGCTCCTGCATTAACTCTATATGATATGAACTCATTCATTTCACAATTATGTGGTACTTCTCACAAGAAAACACTAGGTGGCACAGAAAAGCAACAGATTAGCAGCGTCAGCTCATTTAGTGAAATTTGTTCCAACCCTATCCCTCTTCACTTCCTCAAAGTTGAAACTAAAGTTTACACCACAACCAACAACAATCAAACAACCAAAAAGGGTTGTTGGGGAGGGGTTGCCCTCTAGGAATCCTAAAATAAATCAGTATACCTTTAAATGTACACAGGTAAAAATTATAACCAGTTCAATAATCCATAGGTATGATGAAGAGACTTTGTACACCCGCCCCCCAATTATTTCTGCAAATAGAAATCTGAAGATTAATAGCCTGGACTGTCAGGACAGACTATATGCTCGCCTAATCTGACTGGTAGGTGCATCAATCTTTCCAGAGGTTTATTAGCATGCAGTTGGACACATAATGTGCACTTAGGGGGAAAATGTTGCAGTTCAAAACTGACAGATGCACAGCTCGAGAAACAGAGATTTATTTTTATTAAGTTCAAAAATATCAAGATACTATTTCTACATACGCACCAGCAACATTACATAAAATATACACAGCAATATATTTATTGTTGTAGCTTCCAGCTTCACGCACCACAATGACAATGGATTTCAGAAAAGACCCATTATCATAATGGACACTGCAACAGATACTTTCAAAAAAATCCACAGAAGATGCATGGGTGGAGAGGGATATAATAGGAAGGATTTAACTTCAATTAGGCTGAAGTTACAAAAATTTAAACTGTTTACTATAGATGAAAACTTGCCTTCATAAAATCAGATCTGTTCTCTATAACCTTATTTTTAATTGTGATTTTTATAGTATTATTCTTAAATGGAAATCAATTTCAATGTTTCCTTTTTAAAAAAATTTTTGTCCTATCAGATTTGACTTTTCTTCTGTTCTTTGTGTGTGCGTTGTTCCAACGCAAACCAAAGAAATTAGCATGAGTACCAAAACATTTGCAACTGCAACACTTTTCTGAGAGAAGGATTGGATTTTCTGACAGAATTGCAAGGGTGCCAATATTTTTGGCCATGACTGTATATCCTGTGAGCATGTACTTGGTGTCACCTTTGACAGCCAACAGCTGGGGGGGGCAATACAAAGGAGGTGGTGTTGGTATATGTGGAAGCATATGGGCTAGGCATGTATCCAGCCAGCTTGTCTCCATAATTGCCAATGAAATAAAAAAATTGGAATTAATTCTATGGCACAGAGAACCAAATATGGAACCTTGGAAAAAAGAAAGGAGAATGTTCAGCTGCATTACCACTAATGTAAGTAACTTTAATGACAGAACACACAATACTTGAATAAACAGAAATGAAACATTAAGTGAAAATGAAAGGAGTACATGCAAGAGTACCCAGCCCTCAGCAAACATAAATAAATTATGTTTGACACGCTCATTTCCTTTCTTACCCTTTTATAGTAATACAATAAAAAACATCCTGTTTTTTCTTGGATTAGTCCTATACTGAGCACACAACACTAGTTGCTCTCTGTCATGGAGCACGGCCTAGTTTTATTTGAGCCAACCCAGGTTTTGCAAACAAAACAGAAACAACTTGTCAGTTCACTAAATTCCAAACACTGGAATGTTTCTTTGCATGCATGCTTTGTCATTCGGCATTACTTCTCCCTAGATCAAGAGTCACATGTGTAATCACTATATGCGCAGGCTCACTTGTGTCATTGGACAGCCCTCTTAGTCACTTCACTTCCTTTGCACGCAGAAGAGCTGCCCTTTCTATTGCAGTGAACTGAGAAAACCTTGCACGTATGGCACTTGAATGCCCAGATTCAAACCAAATTGTTGGATTGTGGGCTTATGGTTGTGTACCCAGATGCTGAATGCATTAAGTTCTTTGGTCTTCAGGTTACAATACGAAACACCTGAAAACAGGGTTGTGCATCACTTGTCAACAGCAAGTACTCCTTTATGTGGTAGCTTCTGATTTCTGTAGCCCCCAGCACAGTAATATAAAGGCTAGTTGGTTTCATCTGAGCCACTATGTTCAGTATTCCCATTTGCAATTAAGCCATGTGAAAACCTACCACCTTTACTGCAGTACATCTTACTGTAGTTATTGTAATTATTACAATTTTAGGACTCTTCTAATATGTAGAAGAAACTTTTCAAAGATCAGCATACAAACCTATTGCAGCTAGTCCATTTTAGCCACAAGTATTTTTTTTTCTGTTATGTAAAATAATGGAAGTCATAGTGGGATAGTGAGAACATTACACATAAAAGACTGTGTGGCCTGGATCCCTGTGAATAGAATGGCCTTTTGTCTCATATTACAGAAGACGGTCCTCTACTTAAAGGCTCCCTACCCTCTTTCCAGTTTGTAGATCAAAAACTGCTGGAAGAGAGAGTAGAGGCCTTAAGGTTGACCACTGTGGAAAGATGCTGTTGTTGTTGTTGTTCTGTGCTGTCAAGTTAAAACCAACTTATAGCAGCCCTAATTGGGCTTGCAAGGTGAAATATTTAAGAAACTCACTCCCCCAGTGAGTTTTCACGTCCAACTGGGAATTCAAGCCCTGTTCTCCAGAGGCCTAGTCTGTCACTCTATCCATAAAGTCACACTTGACTTGGCAACATGTATTTCTAGTTAAACAATTATTTGTGAATTTGTATTTATACATAGCAATTAATACCTGCAATAGAAATACAGTACAAATTAAGTCTGTTTTTTTGTACTGAACTCTTTTTTGACAATGCATATAAGACTAATCGTACAAATTAAGTCTGTTTTTTTTGTACTGAACTCCTCTTTTTTGACAATGCATATAAGACTAATTATGATTATGTGCTGTAAAGTCAATTCCAACTTATGGTGACCTTTTTCAGGGTTTCCAAGGTAAAACAGTACTGTGAAGGGGATTCTCATTCCTTTTTTCTGGGGGCCATGTAGTTCTGGGACCATGTAGTTTGCCCAAGGCTACACAGTCTGGCTCTTCTTTTACCAGCACAGTAGGGGATTGAACTCACAAACTCTGGCTCCATAGCCAGGTGCTTCACCTCACTGAGTATCCAGGCAAATTGTATATGAGACTCTCCTAACAGAGAAGGCACATTACCTCTGTATTAAGCTTTTACTATGTACATGTACACTCTCATTTTCAGGCAGCATATGAGATTACCCTGCCTGAAAATTAGACAACGTGAGTACATGATAAAATACTAATCTTGAGGCACTGTGCCTCGTCAGATGCTTCAGACTTCTGGACAGATCATGTGTGTTATTTAGAAAACTACCTTTTATAATAGAGATGTTTCACATGCATGACCATATGTATATGTTCCTTCTTGAGCTGCATTTTGGGGCTTTCCAGGGTTTTTTCATTCCTAACACTACTAGTGCCAGCTTTCTTTTTACAATTTTCATTAAAAACCTAATCCCTGTATATTTTCTGAAGTTTAGCTGCCTTCCATCACAGAAGATGCCTACTGACTCCCAGAAATTGATAATTAAGCAGAAAGAAAAAGGAGATTGTAACGACAATGAAGAAATGATTCTTCCCTTTATTAGTCTAAAAGGACCTATTTGTCAGGCATTCAAACGTAGGAGCTGGGATGCTTCTAGAGTTCTGGCACATATAATGGCAGTTCAATCTGCACAGAATTTCTTCATGGTGAGATGAAGTCAGGGAGAAAGCAGCCAGCTTATAATTACTTGTTCTTGGTTTAGACAGACACTGGGGAGTTCCTTATGCTTCTGGGTTTCCTTGCTCTCCACTTTCTAAAATCAGCTAGCAAGATACTCTCTAGGAACTTCAGAAATGGCTTCCAATACAGCATTGCTCTGTTACCATCTTTTCAAGTGGCGACTGATTTATATAATTTGTAATGGGCTGAAACATTTGGTGCAAGTGGACAACCATATTTAGCCCAGTCTGTTCATGCAGACAAGTATTATCCTATTTAAATCAATGAGAAAGTAGGGCATTGCCAGTCCCCTATGGGGAGACACACTCCTTCAAGTAGCCAGGACCCAAGCCATACAGGGCTCAATAGGTCATAACTAGCATTTTGAACTGGGCCCAGAAAGAGACTGATAGCCAGTGAGGTTGTTGTAATTAGGGAATTATGTGATCCCTGTAATCAGTTACAGTCAGCAGTCTGACTACACCATTTTGAACCAGCTGAGGTTTCTGAATTTTTTTCAAACTCAGCCCCATATACAGCAGGAAGTACAGAAATCTGAACACTAGAGCACTTCAAATGCAGCCCCATATACAGCACACCGTAGGAAGTACAGAAATCTGAACACTAGAGCAACAGTGACTGGAGGGGGAAATAAGATTTCTCCTTAAAAGAAAAAAAATCCATGATTCCTTTAGAAATTAAGGAATCATGGGAACATGTATTCATTATTTAAGAAAGCTTCAGGCAGTGTTAAAGTATTATTTTATTCATTTATAAATACTGCTGTGTTTACAAGCATCATAGGTGTGAATATTATTCCCAAACTTTCAAACATATAATACTTATAACAATCAGGAAAACAAAAATCATTCATTTCAGAGTTCGAAAGGCCACTCAAAAAGTTGCATAAAAATACATTCTTTTCCATCACTCACTGGCTAATCTTTCCTCCGAGTACTGTATTTATAAAGATTAAAACTCTCATTGAAACAGGTAAGTACAGAATACTTGTGACTGGAAGTAAGCAACACAACAGAACATCACACTCTCTTTTTCCAGAGTAACCATTTTCAGAGAGGATGTGACACTAAATCAGCAGTAGAGAAAAGCACAACTGATTTTGTGGCACTGACTGGGGAAGGTATGTTCACCAAGGGTCCAACCTGCTTAAGAAAATAGGCAACATTTGGCAGGAGACAGGAAATGATCCTGAGAATTGGGTCAATTTCACTTATGAACCACTATAGAATTATTTTGCTTAAAAAACCCATTCCTGGAACATACAGCTTTAGTAGAACTATAAAAGATGTCAAATATGAAGGTGAATGTGATCCAAAGATTCATCATCCCAGGAAAATACCCTCCCTTTGAAGGGAGGCAGACCTCCAGAAATAATTCAACTCCAGAACCTGTCTTATCATTAGATGGACTAAACTAGTAGAGAGGTTTAGTCGGGTGAGGAAAATCAAGAACAAAACATGAGGGAGACGACACAAAAATTATAGCATAAATGCAAATGGACTGTGCAAATGAGAGTGCAAATAATAAACTGTATTCTCAGTGACAAAAGAGGCTCCTGTCTTGATTTGCTTATGAGAAGCCCTATCGAATAACATCACATTTCATTACTTTTGAAGGCAACCTACACATATATCCTTGGTGGCATTTGGAAGTCCTGCTAAATTGTAGTGAAACCTTAGTCATAAGCAACTCTTCAGTTTTGAAAAAAATGAATGCTAGTATCTATGGCAGTAAGAGAACATGACACAGCAGAAGTCTTTTCAATTGAGATTTGACTTCAGTTCTGATTACTGTTCATATGGATGAATCCAGACTTTGTCATACTTGGAGTTAAGCCATCTAAATCAGTGCTTCTTAACCTTTGTTAGGTGTTTTTGAACTGCAACTCCCAGAAACCCCAGCCAGCAGAGCTGATGGTGAAGGCTTCTGGGAGTTGCAGTCCAAAAACATCTGAGTAACAAAGGTTAAGAACCAGTGATCTAAATCATGGGATGTTATCATTGCTAACTGAAGTTCCATCAATATTAACTGGTCTTCTCGAACTGAAAGTCAGGATCATATTACCATTAAACCCCAGGTCTTAGTTATCTGATAATGGGGAGGGGGGGGAGAGAGATAATGCATTAGGTATGTGGGAGGACTGTGTTTTGCTCTTCACCACATGCATACACACTCTTACTAACTACGATATTCATTAGATATCATAGAGGATCACAGTGGCACAATATAGTTTACCCCAAATTTTTATCATCCTCTCAGTTTAATCAAGAACAGACTTCACCTTCTTTAATAATAATAATAAAAACAAGCATTAATCTTTTGTCTAAGTACATGCAGGGTACTTGCATATGATTTACAGTGATGTCTTTGATTTGCTGGCAAAGAGTGCTGGTTGTGTCATGGGAACAAAAGAGATTTAACTGATAATGAACAACCAACACTAGATTGCATTCCCAGTTCTTGAAAGAAAGAAGTATGGATATATCCACGACTACGCTATCATATTTGTATAGTCTCTTTTCAATCATCAAAATACAGTCCACATGAACAAGAAACAATTAATTTAAATTAGCTTATTTGGCATGTTGCACTACACTTATAAGCCCTGCATCAGTGAAGATAAGCTGCTCGTTGAACAGCTAGCTGAAACACATCTGAGCAGATCTCTAGATTCATCCATTCACTCTTTCTGTTAACAACAAATCAATACATATATAGACAGCAGATGCTACTTCACTTTGCAACATCAACTGGCACTACATACAGATGCAGTGAAGTACACTCATTTGTAGCTAAACTTGCTCCCCCATTTAAAATGGTTTTCCATTCACTATTCAGAATTCTTATAACAATGGTTCATCTATATTTATAGATAAAGTACAATACAGACTCTCTTAATATAAGCAAGTCAACCAGAAAATATCAGCTCCCAAGCTTCCTTCCCTATTCATAATTGCCTCCTTAGGTTTATATCTGGCACACCCCTAGTTTCATCTGAAAGTTTTCATGGACTAAATAGTTCTTTCACTGATTTAAACTTAAATTTTGCATATTCTGAGCAATAAAATCAAGTCCTCTTTTCCCCCTTCCTTAAAGTTTTGCCTTTTAAAATTGAATAATTTGCAAAGGTACATCAAAATAGATGTGGCAGAGGTTCTGTAAGGTGTTAACACTTACAAATACATCTAGCGATGTACATTAAACTGTCAAAGCTTTTAGGTGTAAGAAAGCAGTATGGCAAAGGGGTCTATTTCCTATTTTAAAGAACTTTCCAACATCCAAAGCATGAAAGCTCTTATATTGCAGATTAAACTTTCTATATCTTTCCCACATAATTTTCATTTTAAGCAGAGAATCTTCCAGCAAACTGCACAATCTTAACATAACATAAAATCCATCCAAATATTAACATCTACCAATACAATATAAAACAGTCTTGTTTCAGCAGTAGCAATAGTTCCTCCTGAATTTGATTAAAAACACACATGAACCTGTTTTTAAGAACACTCTCCCAATTTTTGCAGGAACATTTGTGCCATCAGCGAAAAAATGTATTAAAATCATTACCTAAGAAGTGATTTGACCTTTTGCTTGTACCCACAAACCCTCTGTGTGAACCCTATAAAGCCACAGCTACTTGTTTCACCAAAACCAATTGCAGGACAAGCCAGGATCTAAAAATTAACTTCAAATTGTGATTCATAATTGTCTCTTGTTCCAAAACTTCTGCCAGCCACAGTATTCCAATTCAGATGATACTGGAAACTGTTGTTACAGATTTCCTGGTTTTATCATGTCTTGCACAAGGAAATATCAGAGTGTGTTTGTGTAGGCAAAAAACATCATCCAAACTAGTTCTAGGCCTATGTTTACTTTTGTGCAAACAATATAAAAGGGTTCCTAAGAAATTGATCGAGACAGAAAAGCCTTGAGATCTTGATGAATGACAAAGCTAAATATTAAAATAATTAAAATTATATCAGCATATGTGCACTGTGGCCCAGCATGTAAAAATGACATCTGGCTGCCAGTATTCATTTTCCTAGCTGCCATTGTAATAATCTGATTCACTTTATCTCCCTGTAGCATGTTGTATAGACAACACTATGGCTTGTCAATAGGATTAATTTGTTTTCAGTTTTCAGTGTAAACCAAATTCAAGTTTCTGTATCAAATTCAAATTGTAAAAGTTTTCATATGTTACAGTTCTATAGATTGAGCAGTTATGATCTTCATGTTTTAGGTTACATACCTAAAAACTATGAGATGTTTAATGTATATTTTTTTTTCAAAAATAGTGACAATAATAGCATGCAATAAAATCATTGTAGAATGGATTATAAGCATCAGAAGTCTTTTTCTTTTATACTTTTAAATGACCATTGAAAGCTGAATCTGGATAAGATCCACTGATAACTCAATGTTGACTTAAAAACACAGTGGCTGAAACCCTTTTTTGCAACTTTATACTATGTATGGCTGATGGTATCATCAACCACAGTAACTTCCAGAAATTAAAGGATCCCTGGTCCATGGCCCTAAACAGCTCCCCCAAGATAAAAGGCATTCCAAGGAAACCTCAGATCCTTTAAAGGATAAGAAATCAGTAATTTTTAATTTACAAAAAGCTACCATGGCTGATGATCTCATCAGCCTTACATGGTGTAAAGTTACATAATAGGATTTCAGTCAGTATTAATGAAATATATGAATCATTATATGGACCTATGACACATACTGATTACTTGTTATTCTAGCAATGATTATACAAAATGTCTGCCCAAAAAACAAAACAGGAAAAGTGTTTGCTGTGAAGTCAAGTGTTTGCTTTCTTTCTTTCTTTTTGTTTTTGTTTAATGTCCATAAGCAAAATCTTGTTTGTAAAAATGAATTTGAGAACTTTATACAGAAACATTTCAAAGTGTTGATTTCTGGTTCTTAACTGCATTCTACATAGTGATTCTCGTCTAGAAAGAATGAGGTGGACATTCATACTTTTGAATAATAAAAGGCAAACAAACTATACATTTTTGTCAAAAATAACCCATAGTAGATCAAACAGATCATATGCCCCATCTCACTGAGTAAAGCTGACAGAAAAACCTATATTGCCATTGCTTACTCATACCTGCTAATGAGTGACTATTCTGATCCAAGGTTTCTTTCTAAGGAATGGCAAAAACTGTCTGAATCAAGACTAAAAAAACAGCTTCATAAAACTGATACCATGCTTTGGAAGAGAAATTACACAAGCAAAAAATGGAAAAACCCACTCGCAAGGGACTGTATAATTGGCAGGAAACAATTTTTGTAGGTTTCACAAATGAAATCAGCTTTTTTCAGAATAACTGGAACAACAGAGTGTTTGAAACAATTATGTTCTGAGAATTTATAAAAGTGAATTCATTTATTTCTAGTCTGCATTGAAACAGGTTTCAGAGCAATACAGGTGCTACTGCTGTTCTCATTAGATGCAGACTCCTTCATGTCTTATAAGTGTGAAGATTATCACTATATCTAAGTTCTCAAACATTATGCAATATTTTTATGAAGACCTTTCACAGAGATTCAGTCATCATTTTCCATAGAGATAAACACCCAATAGATCAGTCTTCTTCAGCTTTTAAAAATGAGACCATTTGTATCTTCAGTTAATTTGCATTCATTGAAAATTATTGTAAGCATAATTTTATTTGCTTAGCCACTCTGCAGTGCTTTTCATGGAACGTTCAGAGAAAACTGACCTATCTTGCTAACAGAAAGGTATAGTTGTGTTTCATGCAGTGATATTTCATACTATAAAGTCAATAAGCAACCTCTGCTGATGAGCTATCTTTCCAGTAGAAATCTTGAAAGACCAAGGGGATACAAGTGTTAGCCACAGAATGCAGAGGCTATAAGACCACGTTAGTATTAAACAGTACCAGAAAAGGCAACCGTCAAGGGGAACAGCAGGAAGTATGTTGAGGAGGTCTGCAAAGGTGACACAAATCAGGAGAGGCATTTTGTTGCTCCCCCCCAAATTAAATTAGATTTAAAATCTTACATTAAATACATCAGTCAGCTACTAAGACATGTGGAGAACATAAATCTCCAAGCCAAGTAACCATTGTCAGACTCCCAGAGAAAAAAGTCACCGTGGTTTTCACAGATTGCAGATTCCCAAATTCTAGAAAGGATATTGACAAATCTTCCATGACAATTCCCAGTTTCAGTCCCTATTCTTATTCCAAGACAGTATCTTAAGACATGGTTGGTCAACACTATAAAGTCACTTCTTTATTATTACAGTAGATGCTTCTTTACACTGGATTTCGGTGGACGGATATGGCGTTTACAGCAGAAGAATTTGGGCATTTCAGACAGTACCAGCTCAGTGTTTGCCTTTTCAAATTAATTACTTCAGCAGTCTAAAAACAATAAGTGATGAAAATATGCCATATCTTGGGGAGAGTGTGAGGATAAGCACTATTCAATATGTGAATGCCGAGCCAGGTGCAAGGAGCAGTAGATGTGGCCAACTAATCCATGTCTGAAATGCCAGCAGTTCTTCCAACTGGAAGATCACAAGCAGATGGTGTAGTGGCAGCTTGTGTAGAGAAACACACTTTATGCCCATCCAACACTCAATATACTACTTTGAGAGTTTACTGATAACCCGAATAAGTGCTCCATTTTCATCTTTCAGCCGCTGATTGTCCGATTTCAGCTCTGTCAAAATCTGTTGAAAAACAAGACAAAGTGTAAAACATTTCAGTTTAGATTCTTCCCTATTTCCTTAATATTCATCATAGGAAAAAACACACACAAAGCCACCCTGCAAAAAAGGAATATGGTGTTCATACAAAATTATTCTCTCTAGGAAGCTTTTCAAGTGAGGTCAACAAGGTTGTATTTGCTGTATGTTCCCTAGATTCGGCTCAACTATCTTATATCTTCACACAGAGACACAGAATTGACCCTTAAATCCAGATGTATACAAAGTTGTTACCTGCTTGATGTGCTATAGGCTTCCCCTTGCTAATGTTACTTGTACTCTCTGAAGGAAATGCTCTTATTTTGTTCCGGTGTGCCTTTAAATACATGACTACATTCCAGGCAAAAGAGATCTCTAACATTTAAATATGAAGGCAAATTGCAGTACCAGAAAACTTAAGAGTCTATTCACCTACCAAGTGTTTCATGTGTAGAAATTAAGAATCAATATCCTGATTTGGTTGAATTAGTATTACATGTTACATGCATCATAACATATGCAAGCAATAATATGGGGGTGGGCAGGGGGTGGGAATGCATTCAGGAACATATTAGCATGTAAGTTATTCAGATCCATCCTTATGATGCAGCAGAGAATTGTATATGTGTGATCGTCCTCCCCCTTCATCAGAATGGCTTAGAAAGTGGGAGTTTGTTATGGAAAATGGTGACTGGAATTCACCTGTCAACAGTTTTCTCCGTTAAAAGTAGGCTCCCAATTCACAATGTGTTCGCCATAATTACAAAACATTGTCAACTGACTTCAAAATTGTATTTGAAAAAAGGGCTCTTTAATTGATTTGCAACTCATTTACATTTGATCTCTGTAGAGTCCTCTGAATTCAAGATGAAGAAAAGAAGAATTAGTACCGAGTATCAGAAATGACAAATTATTCCCGGCAAAGCCACATAAGAATTATCTGTACTGTATTGAACCAAGGATCAGGCTTGGAATTATTATGCCTTTGCTATCTAGGGCAGGATGTAGCACATTTCTTCAAAACTTTGTCAGCTGCATTAAGGTCCCAGGAATTCCTAGAGCTCAGCTGCTGTCGAGGGAAAAGATCAGGTTCTTGGTGAAATGAGTGTTATTTAAAAGAGCCTGTACAGCCAAGGAAAAGGAGAGGAGTGTGAACACATTCAAGATGAAGACAAAAAGACATTTCAAATACAGTATATCAGACAAAACAAAACAAAAACAAGACCACAAGAGACAAGAACACAGTTACTACTTCAAATACACCATGTTTACTTACATGGCTGTTGGGGAAAAGCAACCATACCTCCCTATATAAAGGCCACACATAAATGTGCTGTGTTTGCAAGGGAGAACATACAATTGGCTATGCAACCTTACAATTGCTACATACAGTATATCATAGAAGTGAGTACACCTGCTCATATTTCATAAATATTTTAGTATATCTTTTCATATGACAACACTGTAGAAATGACACCAGGCTACAATGTAAAGCAGTGAGTATAAAGCTTGTAGAACAGTGAAAATGTAGCTGTCCCCTCAAAATTACGCAACACACAGCCATTAATGTCTAAACCACTGGCAACAAAAGTGAGTACGCCCCTAAGTGACAATATACAATTTGGGCACAAAGTGTCAATACTATGTGTGGCCATCATTATTTTCCACCACTGCTTTAGCCCTTTTGGGCACAGAGTTCAACAGAGCTTCACAGGTTCCCACTGGAGTCCTCTTCCACTCCTCCATGATGACATCACAGAGCTGGTGGATGTCAGAGATCTTGCACACCTCCACCTTCCATTTCAGGATGCCCCACAGATGCTCAATAGGGCTTAGGTCTGGAGACATGCTTGGCCAGTCCATCCTCTTTACCTTCATCTTCTTTAGCAAGGCAGTGGTCATTTTTGAGGTGTGTTTGGGGTTGTTATCATGTTGGAATACTGCCCTGCGACCCAGTCTCCAAAGGGAGGGGATCATGCTCTGCTTCAGTATGTCACAATACATGTTGGCATTCATGGTTCCCTCAATGAACTGTAGCTCCTCAGTGCTGGCAACACTCATGCAGCCCCAGACCATGAGACTTCCACCACCATGCTTGACTGTAGGCACAACACACTTGTCTTTGTACTCCTCACCTGGTTGCTGCCACACACGCTTGACACCATCTGAACCAAATAAGTTTATCTTGGTCTCATTGGACTACAGGACATGGGTCCAGAAATCCATGTCAGTCTGCTTCTCTGCAGCAAAGAGTATACAGGCTTTCTTGTGCATCAACTTTAGAAGAGGCTTCCTTCTAGGACCACAGCCCTGGAGACCAATTTGATGCAGTGTGCGGTGTATGGTCTGAACACTGACAGGCTGACCCCCATCCCTTCAACCTCTGCAGCAACACTAGCAGCACTCATACATCTATTTTCCAAAGCCAACCTCTGGATATGATGATGAACATGGGCACTCAACTTCTTTGGTCTATCATGGTGAGGCCTGTTCCCAGTGGGATCTATCCTGTTAAACTGCTGTATGGTCTTGGTCACTGTGCTGCAGTTCAGTTTCAGGGTGTTGGCAATCTTCTTATAGCCTAGGCCAGTGATGTCAAACTTATGGCATGAGTGCCACAGCTGGCACGCAGAGCCCTTTCTGTGGGCACGCAAGCCGTAAGTCACCGGATTAGTAGGATCACTACTTCCCCCCCCCCCCGGCAGCCAAACCTCAGGAGGCGGCTACAGCCGCAGTGCTGCCACTTCAACAGGTGGCGGGCCAGAATCTGGAGCAGCTGGCACTAGTGGCAGATCCAGTGTGGGGTCTCGAAACATCTCCGTGCCTGGGATTTCTTCTGCCGCCACTTTCTGTTCCCTGCTGCAGTCTGCCGCCCACTGTTTTTTTCCCCCAAGTTTGGACTCTTGGGCCCAAAGAGGTTTGTCGCCACTGGCCTTGACCATCTTTAAATAGAGCAACAATTTGTTTTTCCAGATCCTCAGATAGTTCATTACAATGAGATGCATTGTGGAACTTCCAGTGACCAGTCTGAGAGAGTGAGAGCAATAACACCTGCTCCCCCTTCACACCTGAAACTTGTGACACTAATGGGTCTCATGACACAAGGGAGAGAAAATGGCTACCTGGACATTGTCACTTAAGAGTGTACTCACTTTTGTTGCCAGCGGGTTAGATGCTAATGACTGTGTCATATGAAAAGATATACTAAAATATTTATGAATGTGAGGGGGTGTACTCACTTCTATGATATACTGTACGATGGGATACTAAATAGGCAGGTTCTGCACCATGCAGGTAAAATGTCAATCTGAAATGGTAGTCAGAAAAAATCTCCAGTAGTAAGAAGGAGTAGTAATGTGTAGTGGGTCATTTGGTATATGCCCTCCCCACTCCTCAATCTTTCTTCATTTATGTGAGAGTGCTGCACAACTTAAAATTATGTTATTTCTGCTTGCAACTTTTTGTTTGATTTTTAGACAATTTTTTGAAGATCAGGGTTTGATTCACAATGACACCCAAATACTTTGGGTATGGCAATGTTCCAAAACCTTGCCTTCTCAGCTAACCGGCAGCTTCCTCTCTGTTCTTTAATTGGAAGGCACAGACCTGTGTTTTTATTGAGTCTAATTTCAGCTGGTTGCTCTTATAATTTAAAGAAAGATCATTGTGTGTACACTTGGGTGTCCCCTGGACAATAGCAAGTAGCCAGCCAATCCTTCATTTCCAGAAACACTGCACTGTAAACTTGTTAATGGGTAAAATGACCTCTCCCCAATCACCTGTACTGCTTTAGCTTTATCCTTTTATTCTGAATTTACAAAAAGCCGAAAAGTAAGAGTTTCACTGTAAATAGTGAGGCATGAAATTCAATACTTAATACAGAAATTGTGATGCTGCAAAGTGAAGATACTTTGCAACAGCTATAGTCACAGTTTGTTATTCAGTAAACCCTCTCATGTGTGAAATCCCCAAAAAGAGAGAAAAAAGTCCACCTTAATGAGATATGATACCTTTCATCTTAGCTTGGCACAGGGTTGTTTGATATTTGCTTGAAAAGGACCTAAAACCCCAAGTAGAGAACTATGGTGGTAATAGAATTAAACTTTACATTTACATATTCAACCCCCTCAAAGAGAAAGCTGTATTCTGCCAAGAATGATGCTATGATAGAGATTTGTGTTTTCACCATCAGTTTGTATTATAAAGAGGCAGAGTAACTCAGTTAACATTGGGAAGAGTATAACCGTTGTTTCATTTTAAGCTGGTCACAGCAGTATGATTACTAAGGAAATGCAGGATGCATCAGATCATGTTCTACTACCAGAGAAATCATATTGCGCACTAGCTATTGGAGCCAAGTAGACCTTGACATGAGAGCTAAGTGGTCATATTAAGGCAGCGCCTGTAATTTTAAGTGGACAAGAAAAGATAACATTGAGGATTTAGGCAACACTCCTCACACCATTTTCTTTTAAAAATGAAAAGCAAACTGTGTGAATATATTTAAAATTTAAATAAAGCAAAGTAAAGTGTGCTGCTTATATACCACCCCATAGTGCTTCAAGCACTCTCTGGGTGGTTTACAAGTTAATTATGCAGGCTACACATTGCCTCCCCAGCAAGCTGGGTACTCATTTTACCGACCTTGGAAGGATAGAAGGCTGAGTCAACCTTGAGCTGGCTACCTGGGATTGAACCCCACGTTGTGAGCACAGACAACAAGTACAAACAATGAAACCATGCATACTAGGAAATAAATGCGGAAGTGCTTCATAAATATCCAAAGGAACACTGTTCAACATGGCAAAAATATGGGTGCTGAACAACTGTGAGATATAAAACAATACATGTGAATAATGTATTCTGCTACTGTAGTCACTTCTGTAATATCTTCAAAGAAATGTGTTATCTTAGTGTTGTCTCAGTCAAATGAAATGCAACATATAGGGGAGACAGGAATCAAAGGAGCTATACCTTTGCTGGAG